CAATTATAATAAAATATCAAATCAAAGTCTCAAACACCAAAACTATTTTCAAAATATATAGCCAAACAAACTATAAAAATTTCTAAACCCTTTTCCCAAATTTTTTTTGAAAACTTGTCTCCCAAAATCAAAACAAACAAGGCCTTAATTTTTTTTTTTTCATGAACTGGGAAGCTTTACATATATATATATATATAGCAAAAGTGGAAACATGCTTTTTTTTTAATAACTTTTTGGCTCTTTGACTAAAATATGATTAAAAAAAACTAGTATGTTTAGGATGACTTTTTGATTTTTACGAAAAGATTGCAAAAAGTAGAGAGAATGAAATCTTTGACCTTTTGGTATAAGTTATTGATTTTTTAATTTTTTTAGTGACTTTTTAGCTTTTAAGCAAAAAAGTGATGTTGCTAAACGAGGTCTTAATTAGTGTTGAATGCACATTCTCTCCTTGAAAGCATTTAAATCTTGTTTCCCATTCTACTTACACTCCATTTGGATAGAGGGGTTTGGTGAAAAAAGAGAAGAAATTGTGAGAATAAAAAACTCTTTCATTGTTTAGATGGTTAAATAGGTGAGAAACGATAAAAGATGGTGAGAAAAGAACTCTCACCAAAATTTTGTTTTGTTTCTCACCAAAAGTGGTGAGATTTGATGAGAAAAGGAAATGAATTTAATGAATTTTTTTTTCTAAATTACCGAAATTATCCTATGATGGAAGAAGCTAGAAAAATAGCTTATTAATATAAAAGGTTATTTTGGTAAAATGAAATAAAACTCTTTTCTTTTCTTTTCGTTACTCTATCCAAACAAGATTGGTGAGAAACTGCTTTCTTTTTTCTTTTATTCATCTAAATACAATGGTGAACCATAATCCTTTATCTTCTTTTCTCACCCCATGATCCAAATAGAATGTTAAAGAGTGGAACGCAAAACCTCATCTTAAGAGAAATTTGGTGAGCAAATAGCTAGTTGCACAAGCAACAACTCGTTGATTGTGAGAAACCTTAAGTTGGTCCAAGAATTAATTTTCTCTCTACACTCACATTTTATCTTTTCTACTTAGGTATTGCTAACTAAAGTTGATAGGTGGCCCTTGTGAGAAACCTTACAAGAATTAAATTTTTCTTTACACCCACTTTATAATTTTTCTCGTTGGTTTTGCTGACTAGAGTTTAGGCCACTAGATCACATGTCAATTTTAAATTTGTTTGGATCAATAGGCTTAAGTTATCTTTTGAGACTGAAAGGACATCTATCTATTCAAATTTTATTTATTTGTATATCTGTTCAAATGTTATAGGTCTACTTTATCACCGCCAGTTACTTTTTTGATTACTTTTTTAACATTGGTGATTTTTTTGTCATGTCCTTATCACTAAAAAAGATTAATCATTGAACCTAATGTCGTATTCCGCCATAAATATGAACTTCTCATTAATAAACTCTCAAGTTTATAGGTGGCCCTTGTGAGAGTTTTTTCACAACGTGAGAACCCTTAAGTTGGTGCACGAATTTCTCTCTACACTCACATTTTCTATTGGCTACAAGAATTTTTTTAATAATGTACAAGATGCACGTGCATTTGTAGGCTCCCCCATGCGAGAAACCTTAAAGTCATATGTCAAATGACGAAAAAATCCTTTTATTGAAATCAAGGGGTTTTTTTTTTTTTTTTTGCTTGCCATTTCAATAAAATTTGTCCTAGCAGAATTAAGAAATGAAAAAAATGTTCTGATAATAGCGTCAAATATCTAAATTGTTTTATCAGAAGTATCCTTATTATTTCTATTATTTTCACTAGAAGTAAGTCTTGTTGTCTTAGCGTGTACATTCTTAATATGTTTTCATAATTTAATTATATATATATATATAGACATAGTCAAATTGATAAGACGTATTCTCATCTTGTTGTTGTTATTATTATTATTTTAATATCAAACTGATCAAAGTTTCAAATGAGCAAGCAATGACACATTCAAAATTCAAAGGGGTAGAATATGCTGGTGATGAAAGTCATCGAATCACATGTTTTGGCATTCATCCCCCTTACATTGTGGTATTCTCTCTACATACAAACGTGTGAAATAGGTTGCTTTAAGCAATGTAAGAAAAGCTAATTCATACATTTTTCCGAATAAAGAATGATTTGGTTAACCAACCATGAGTCTACTACTTCAAAATGACAACTATATATATGCATTAGTTTAATATAATAAAGAGGTGGGCTTGGTGGTCAATGTGTGGGTGTATTTTCTCTAAAATTTTAGATTTAAAACTTTACAAGTATAAATAATTTTTTGGGGATCTGTTCATACTAGATTTTTGTATTGACTTCAATTGAAATCTCTACACGGGATCTCTGCAAAGTGAGATAAGTCTCCAGATTAGTCGGTCTAATAGATTAGATATGGAGTTATCAAAAAAATTATATATATATATATATATATTGTTATTACTAGTAAAATGTAAATAAAAAAATGAAAGAATAATATGCAAGTGAATTTGTGCGAAATTATAAGAATGTATGAATGTATGTATTGGAAGATTTGACAATTAATGACAGTGTCGGCGGAGAGGGAATAGTAACCGTGAAACACAAGGGAAATGAAAACTCTTTTTAACCCAACTTAAGGAAGCGGCTTGGATTGCCTGCATTTCAAGGAGCACCCACCCTACAAGCAACCATGTTACCCCCCAAAGTTGTGGATCCTCGTTTTCTACTTACTTCCTCTTCTTAATTACCGGGTATTGCCCCTCCTATCACCTCCAAAAATGTTAGGGACCACTCAAGTTTATCTCCAAAAATTAGGTGGATGAGATTTTTTTTATCAGCAAAAAAGAGACTTTATTGATGAAAAACAAAGTACAAGATACAAAATAAAATATCAATTAAAGAGGCGAGTGCAAAAGTATCACGATGACCCAAAAAAATTAGATGAATGAGATAGATTTTAAATTGGTCAGATGTGAATCTTATTTATACTGATAGTTCTTATAATTTTTTATTTTTTTTAAAATTTTTTTACTTTGGTCCTTGTTTTGCATGTGGTCTTGTTTCATTTAAAATGTTAAAACAGCGCATAACAGATTAATCACATTATAACAAAATTGAAAATGTAGTGTTCAAATAGAAATTATAGGAATTAAAGTGACAATTAGCTTAAATTACATGAACCAATGTTGTAATTTACTCTTAAGGCTGTTTGAATGATGAAAATCTTCTAAGAAGTGAAAATCTTATTACTAATAATAAATTCCTGTGTCAATGCTATTTGGTTTCGTTAGGAATCCTTTATTGCAAAATAAATAAAATTTTAAATATAGTGTGCCTAATTTTTTTTAAACTCCTAAATAGCTAATATTATTCAAGGAATATGAAATTTCCATAAGAAAATGGGAGAATCGGATTTCTATTTAGTTTAGAAATGTAATTCCTATTAAAATAGATAATCGAGCATTCTGATCTGTTCCTAGCGCTGTAATCAAAGGATTTGGAATTTCATTCAACATTTTACTTGCATCAACTAAAAAACATTATATTTTACCACTATGAATTATTAATTTGTAACAATATGATCCTTCAATAATATTTTATTTTACCACTGTGAATTCTTAATTTGTAACAATATGATCCTTAAATAACATATAAATATTATGAAATACTTAAAATTTACTATTCTTCTCACACTTTTTTGTTTCTGTTTCTCCTATCAATATCAACAGTCAAAGTTGTCTATCCTATGAGTGTCATGACTGCTACTATGAATAGGAAAATAGAGAGAGAAAAAAAGAAAAAGAATAAAAAGAAGAAGAGAATAAAGTCATTTTATACGATCAACCCGATATCACTAAATTATAAGGTATCCAAGTATAAAAGTTGTAATTATATAGTACTTTTTACAAAAATCACTTATACAACATTTTGATAAATTATAAATATACTTTCGAAATTTACTTAAAATACAATTTACTTCATGTGATTCTAAAAATTATATTATGTCTCTTGAAATTTATAATCTCATAACAAATTACTCCTTCATTAATAAATCAAATCCGACCCCATTTGATGAGGCTTAAGGTTTGGTTTGGTTTGGTTTATTAATAAATCAAATCGATTAATAATTTTTAATGATATTAGAAATTTATTTCAATTAATAATTAATGTAATTTTATTATTATATAGGAAAACAGTTAGAAATTTTATTTTTTAGCTAATTTTGTTAAATAAAAAAATCTGATAAAGAGTTATTTATAATTTTTTAAATTATAATGAATAATCTGTATTTTGAATAAATCTCAAGCCATGTATTTGTAATTCACCCCATCATTTTTAGATTATTTTTCTTAGAAAAATTTGGTTTACAAAAATGCAATACAGCATAAAAACTTATCTCTAATTTACTTTGAAAGTATGTAGTGTAAATTTAAAATTAGTGAGATGTCAATCACACTTACAAAGAAATGAGAGTTATGCTATTCAAATCGAAAAATTAATCCCACTTTTAAACTCAATGATCAATCAATCTATCACTTTCATGTACTATTTATCTATTTTATATTTTCTTTAATTATCAACTAATCATTCCATTTACACATTATTAAATTTAGAAAATAGGTCTAAAATTTGGATTTATAGTCTATTTATTCACTTTTCTAAATATTTTTTTTATAGTAATTTTGTTAGTACCGTTGTTTTGTTTATATGAGAATACACCATTTTAATTTGAATTTGTTTTGTTAAAGTAGAAAGGTCAACCCAAACACACAAAGCAAAACAATAAGCCTTTTATTACCATTTTGCCCTTAGTTGTTTCACTGTTTGATTGACCTCTATTGTATGCACAAGTGGGTTACATTACACCTGTTCAAAAAAAAAAAAAAAAAAGGGGGTTACATTACACCTATTAAAAAAAAAAAAAAAAAAAGAAAAAAGTGGGTTACATTACACCCACCTTCATTTTCTCTATATATATCTCATTGTCTCCTCTCCTTTCCTCCACAGCATCCACACTACTACCACTTCTTTTATGTATTTCTTTCTCTTTATTTGTTCCTCTTTGCTTTGCATCCCACACTGAAACCATGCCAGAGGCTCCAAACAAGAACTTAACTGCTGAAAAAGACTCTGTTGTTGAGAATTGCAAAGAAGAGAAAAACAAGAAGGCCCTTCAATTCATTGAAGATGTTACTAGTAATGCTGATGAAGTTCAGAAGAGGGTTCTTGCTGAAATCCTTTCTCGTAATGCCGGTGTGGAGTACTTGCGAAGGCATGGCCTTAACGGTGAAACGGATCGTCAAAGCTTCAAGAAGCTGATGCCAGTTGTCACATATGAAGATCTGCAGCCAGATATCGATCGAATTGCTAATGGTGATACTTCTCCCATCCTTTGTTCTCAAACCATTTCTGAGTTCCTTACTAGGTGAGTCCTTTGAGATTAAAATTCTGATTTAAGTTTTTGAGTTAATCCTGTTTTGTTTATTAAGCTGTTGTGTGTCTCAAATTTAACCCTGATTTGACCAGGTATTTGAAGGGTTGGCTTTTTGGTTAAAATAATTAAAAAGTCAAAACACCTAAATGTATCACTCTTTTGATTTTTCTACACATTTTTAAATTAAAAATAAAAATACTAACTAAAATAGTCGCACTCTCAGTCTACTTTATCTCCTTTGATAATTGATACTTTTTGATCATCCTAAGGATAATTTTGAGATTCTATAATTTCATGGTATTGAGAGATTTTGTAACAGGTGGTTGTGTTAAAACTCATTCTTTACCAGTAAATGTAGACTTATAACTAAACGACAACAAACTGTTTGCGTGTTTGTTTGTTTCACTGCTTATTATTTCCCTATTTCTACTTCTTTTTTTTTTTTTTTCCCTAACGAAAGCCCTTTTTTCTGATGTTCAGCTCTGGAACATCTGGTGGAGAGAGAAAACTGATGCCAACAATCGAAGAAGAGCTCGAAAGGAGATCATTGTTGTACAGCCTTTTGATGCCAGTGATGAACCAGTTTGTTCCTGGTTTAGACAAAGGCAAAGGAATGTACTTTCTCTTCATCAAATCCGAAGCCAAGACTCCAGGAGGACTTCTAGCTCGTCCAGTCCTAACCAGTTACTACAAAAGCTCCTACTTTAAAGACAGACCTTTCGATCCCTACACAAACTATACGAGCCCAAACGAAACGATTCTTTGCTCAGACTCTTACCAAAGCATGTACTCTCAATGAAGAGAAAAACAAGAAGGCCCTTCAATTCATTGAAGATGTTACTAGTAATGCTGATGAAGTTCAGAAGAGGGTTCTTGCTGAAATCCTTTCTCGTAATGCCGGTGTGGAGTACTTGCGAAGGCATGGCCTTAACGGTGAAACGGATCGTCAAAGCTTCAAGAAGCTGATGCCAGTTGTCACATATGAAGATCTGCAGCCAGATATCGATCGAATTGCTAATGGTGATACTTCTCCCATCCTTTGTTCTCAAACCATTTCTGAGTTCCTTACTAGGTGAGTCCTTTGAGATTAAAATTTTGATTTAAGTTTTTGAGTTAATCCTGTTTTGTTCATTAAGCTGTTGTGTCTCTCAAATTTAACCCCGATTCAACCCGGTATTTGAAGGGTTGGCTTTTTGGTTAAAATAATTAGAAAGTCAAAACACCTAAATGTATCACTCTCTCGATTTTTCTACACATTTTTAAATTAAAAATAAAAATACTAACTAAAATAGTCGCTTTTCAAACACTCTCAGTCTACTTTATCTCCTTTGATAATTGATACTTTTTGATCATTCTAAGGATAATTTTGAGATTCTATAATTTCACGGTATTGAGAGATTTTGTAACAGGTGGTTGTGTTAAAACTCATTCTTTACCAGTAAATGTAGACTTATAACCAAACGACAACAAACTGTTTGCGTGTTTGTTTGTTTCACTGCTTATTATTTCCCTATTTCTACTTCTTTTTTTTTTTTTCCCTAACGAAAGCCCTTTTTTCTGATGTTCAGCTCTGGAACATCTGGTGGAGAGAGAAAACTGATGCCAACAATCGAAGAAGAGCTCGAAAGGAGATCATTGTTGTACAGCCTTTTGATGCCAGTGATGAACCAGTTTGTTCCTGGTTTAGACAAAGGCAAAGGAATGTACTTTCTCTTCATCAAATCCGAAGCCAAGACTCCAGGAGGACTTCTAGCTCGTCCAGTCCTAACCAGTTACTACAAAAGCTCCTACTTTAAAGACAGACCTTTCGATCCCTACACAAACTATACGAGCCCAAACGAAACGATTCTTTGCTCAGACTCTTACCAAAGCATGTACTCTCAATTGCTTTGCGGTCTCATCCAAAACACTGAAGTTCTTCGAGTAGGCGCGGTTTTTGCTTCTGGGTTTATCCGTGCCATTCGTTTCCTCGAAAAAAATTGGCCATTTCTTTGTAACGATATCCGAACTGGAACAATTGACGCCAGAATCACTGACCTTTCGGTGAGAGAGTCCGTGATGAAAATTTTCGAAGCGAGTCCTTGTCTTGCAGATTTCATCGAGGCCGAGTGTAGTAGGGAGTCATGGAAAGGGATTATAACTAGGTTATGGCCTAATACCAAGTATATTGATGTTATTGTGACTGGAACAATGTCACAATATATTCAAACTCTTGATTATTATAGTAATGGTTTACCACTTGTGTGCACTATGTATGCTTCTTCTGAGTGTTATTTTGGTGTGAATATGAGGCCTTTGTCAAAGCCAAGTGAAGTTTCTTATACCCTTATTCCCACCATGGCCTATTTCGAGTTCTTGCTGGTGAATAGGAAAAATGGAGTCATTAATACTCTGTCGGAGCCATCGTCGGACTCAGCCCTCAACCCAGATGAACATAACAAGTTGGTTGATCTTGTTGATGTTAAACTTGGACATGAATATGAGCTTGTGGCCACCACTTATGCTGGTAAGATTCTATGTTCCTTTCAGAAAGTATGCATTTCTTCCTTTCACTACTCAGACAAGTGAAAAAAATAATTTTATACCAATGAGCATTCGAATACATGGAACATGAATGAAAACATGATAGGCTAGATTCTATACAACGTGCTATGATAGAAGTACAACTTATATTATTATAATTTAAGACATTTTTGGAATTTTTTTCTTTTAATAATTAGATATTCCATAAACAATTTCATTTCAAATTGACAATGTAAATTTAGATTTTACTTCATTACATTGTTTTTTTTTTTTTTTTTTTTTTACATCCTAAAGAAAATTTTAATGAAATTAAAGGAAAAGGTTTTGGCCCTTTTCGATTTCTTAAATGTGCATACCAAAATGTAAATCGCTCGAATATTAGCATTTTTGTTAACACTATCTCATACTCTTAAATTCCAGGGCTTTATCGTTATCGCGTTGGAGACATACTCCAAGTAGCTGGATTCAAGAACAAGGCACCTCAATTTAACTTCATTTGCCGAAAGAATGTTGTTCTAAGCATTGATTCTGACAAAACAGATGAAGTTGAGCTTCAAAATGCAGTCAAGAATGCAGCTAACCATCTTTCTCCATTCGAGGCCTCCATCGTAGAATACACAAGCTATGCCGATACATCATCCATCCCAGGACACTATGTCCTATACTGGGAAGTTGAACTAAGTAATAGTGATGCCCTAGTTCCTCCATCAGTTTTTGAGGATTGTTGCCTTACCATTGAAGAATCACTGAACAGTGTGTACCGGCAAGGTCGTGTATCGGACAAGTCAATCGGGCCTCTAGAGATAAAAATGGTGGAGAGTGGGACATTCGATAAGCTCATGGACTATGCTCTGAGCAATGGTGCATCAATAAACCAGTACAAGACGCCCCGGTGTGTGAAATATGCTCCCATTGTTGAGCTTTTGAATTCTAGGGTTGTTTCAAAATATTTCAGTCCAAAATGCCCCAAATGGGCTCCTGGTCACAAGCAATGGTGCACCAGCAACTGAAGAAGAGAGTGAAGGACTGAGTGATGTTCTGGTATAACACAAAGCCTAGGTAGTAGATTATTGTTACTTTTGTAGTTTAAAACCATCTTATGATCTCTTCTTTTTATTAGCTTAATTGTTGTCTAGTGTGTCAAAAGGCAGTTCTTGTTCCATGATTTTCTTTTCTTTTTTAGTTTGTAACTTGTCATCAGCGCATTAATTTCTCAGTTCCATAGTGCCATCTGTCTGAATAGTGCAACACTGTAGCTTTGATTATGATGCCAGAAGGATTGAAGTTGACTCAAAGGTCTCTTCCCTTTTTCGTTTTCTTTTTTATTATAAACATGAGGTGCAAACTCTCTAAAATAGATATTGATCGTTTTTGAATTTAGAAAAATATTATCGGCCTTTTTTAGAAGAAAAATAAATAATTCTAACAAAATAATTTGTAATTATGAAATTATTGAGTCAATGCTCAAGAATATCAAATAACTTCTCTAAAAAAGAAGTGTTAGACCTCTTGTGACACAATTGTTAATATGTGATTTTGTAATAGTTGATGAAAGCATCAAATTTTATTGCTATCATTATGTACACAAATCTATGTTATTGTAAGGGAATTAAACAATCTAAAATTAGAGTTAGCAGGAACAAAAATTGGCTAAGTATTGAATTTAAATAATAAAAATAAATGAAAAAAGAAAAAAGAAAAGAGGCTAAGTATGGAAGAGGGTCAAGATGTGTAATATCTTTTTTTAGGTACATTGGAAAGTAGTCAAGATGTGTAATATCAAATACACAACTCAAACAGCTTGGGAGTATTGATAAGATGGAAAATGAAGCAGATGAAGTGGTAAGTGAGTTGTCTAATATATGTTTCACTGTCCCCTGCTGAAGGTGCACGTTGCAATTCCAACAAATCCAAAATATCCTCAAATTCAGTTCTAAAATATTTGAATATATGGTGTAAACTTAAATTCAGAAAACCTATAGACACATAATTGAAACACACAATTTTATCTATAAATTAGAAGTATGGTTCAGATTTATCTGTTGAATAATAGGACTTACATTTAAATAGAACTTGAAACACACATGACAAATTCTGAACAAATATCTATGTAAACTTTTTGTGTTAGTAACATTGCTTATTTAAATTTGATGTAGCATAAATGGCACTCATAATAAATTCGATTCACACATTTTAAATTTTAAAATATAATTTTTTTTAGTACACAGAACATGTATAATCATATTTATCGAGACCTTTCATGGAAAGTCACCACATCTGGATTTATTTTTTATTTTTTATTTTTATGGGGGGCAGGAAGTACAAAAAGGATATGCTAAATAAATTGCAATATATAAACTACATGAGGAATTCATGGATGAATTTGTGTCCCACACATCAAAGAGCAATCAAATCATGGGAGTGAAGAAACACTGTGTGTTGTTCCTTGTAGATACAAACACTTTTCAAGTCACTGTGCTTACTGATGGACTTGTGAATTTCATTGAGGAGACAAGAACTATCAAACATGGTTTCTAGTTCCAAAATCAACCGGACAACTTTTCATTGTTTCCAGCTCATATGTTCTTTTTTTGCCCGATGGTTTGCCCTAGTTGTTAGATGCAAAACAAGTAATATGTCCAATTTTCTGTTATCAAATATTTCTGGCTCCCTATCACAAAATATTCACAACCATTAATTGTAATATTTGAGAATCTTAAAATGTAAAAATCTCTAAACAAATAGATTTGGCGACAAAAGACACCGTTCAGTAATAATTTTTAGAGTAATGGAAGTTGCCTAATGCGACACTTCTGCTGCCAAATTTACATCCAACTTTTAGATTAACGTACAACTTTTAGATTAATGTCAAGTTATTACCATTAATTGGAATATTTGAGAATCTTAAAATGTAAAAATCTCTAAACAAATAGATTTGGCGACAAAAGACACCGTTCAGTAATAATTTTTAGCATAATGGAAGTTGCCTAATTTGACACTTTTGCTGCCAAATTTACATCCAACTTTTAGATTAATGTACAAGTTTTTAAGTACATGGCCAAAGTTTAAGATCAATATAATTTCCAAATTATGTATAAACATTTTTTAGAAATGGCAAGTTTGCAAACTTTTTTATTTTGTTTATTTATTTATTTATTTTTTATGACAGTGAATCTCTTTAAGGCACAATCCTTTGAGCTTATAATCTTACAAATAAATTTCAAATACTTGCATTTATCCATAAATAGTAGGCATTGTTATGTCTAGAACACACCAATAAGAATTGAACCCGGACATTGGAGTTTATAACCATATCTCCGGCTATTATTACAAAAATAAGGACTTGTCATATGTTTACAAGTTTCTTCATCTTAGCCTAATCTCATTAGTGTAGGTCTCTAAATTTCCACATTCTAATAATAAAGGTGACAGTTCATGTACCCCTAAGGGCTAGCCTAGTTGGTCAATGGGTTTGCACTCCACATGCTCAGCTCAGGGTTCAACCCCTTTTGTTGTTTGTATCAAATTTTCTTTCAAAGGTCTGTCGATAAGCTAGTACATGAAAGATGGCAATAGATCACAAATGACACATGATTATTTATGTAAAGGATACATGGCAAGTCAAGTCATGGGGGAAAGTGTGATAATTAAAGGCAATTATCAAATTGAAGCACACTGTGAAACTGCAGAAAGACTGAATCACATATTCTCATTACACTAACTCAACTGTTTACAAAATGTTTATATACTTAACTAATACATCACTCACTTATACGTAGATATCACTCTAACAATATTCTAACTGACTAACCTAACCACCACAACTTGTATAGCTATATCTGCTCAATCTTCTAACCACACATGCTTGTGATGCAATTGGTGTCATAGACAATTCATGAGGTTGCACTTGTTCTTCAGATTGTTTCTCTGTTTCTTGATTAGTTATCTTATCATTCCCCTGCAAGTTATTGGGGCAGGGAAGCACCAAGAGCTTGTCCTTAAGATAGTGAAACCTGGAAATGATTAAAGGCTTGGTAAACACATTAGCAATTTGATCAACAGTTGGAACATATCGGTGATCATGTTGTTTAGCCACCTTTTTCCCTCTAATGAAATGACAATAAATTTCAACGTGCTTGGACTTAGAGTGAAAAACAGGATTAGAAGTTAAGGCCATAGCGAAGAGGTTGTCACACCAAAGAATAGGAACTCAGAGAGATGGAAGAAACATATCTCTTAACAACTGCTGCAGCCAAGTAAACTCAGTAGCTGCATGAGCCAAGGTCTTGTACTCTGTCTTAGAATGGTTGTTATGGAATCCTTGAGTGATCAAAAAAGAGGAGAAGGCAGAGTATCATGCCCTAAGAGCTTGTTTAAAACCATAAAGGGCCTTTTTGAGCTTACAAACTTGAGTGGATTTTTGAATAAATACACGAGGCTGCAACATGTAAACTTCCTCTTTTAATTTCCCATGAAGAAAAGCATTGGAGATGTCCAATTGCTTGATAGGCTATTGAAAATGAAGAGCCAAACACAAGAGAATTTTGATAGTTGGTTGTTTGGCCACAAGGTTAAATGTTTCTTGGAAATCAATACCTTGTTGTTGCAAATAGCCTTTGGCAACTAACCTTGCTTTATACCTAGCAATAGTTCCACTTAAATTTCTTTTAATCCTAAAAACCCATTTGCAGCTAATGGCTACTTTATGAGAGGGAAGAGTAACCAAATCCCAAGTACCATGATTCTAAAGGACTTGATATTTTTCTTGCATGACAGTAATCCAAACAAAAGACTGAAGAGCTTCTTTAACAGTGAGAGGCTCAGTTTGAATAAGAGAAGAAAACACAATGAGACAAAAAGGATGCCTACATTATTGGATGAGGATGAAAAATAAGAGCAGATAAAAGGGCAAAAGAAGGAGGGGAGATGGGTAAATCAATAGTGAGAATTGATGGGAATTGCGTTAGAAGCAGGAGGAGAACACAGAAGAAAAACCTAAGAAGAGGATTTGAAAGAAAAAGTAGATGTAGATTGAGGTAAAGAGGTGCAAGAAGAAGTAAATGTAGATTGAGATGAAAGATAATGTGAAATAGATAAAGAACCCCAGAAAAAGAAGTAAAAGTGGACACATGAGAGGAGGAATAAGAAGCAACATAAAAGTTTTTGGAAAAAAGAACACAATGTTCATTAAAAAGCACATGTCTTGAAACATGGATCTTACCAGTGAGAGGATCAAGACATCTATATCCTTTCGTAGCGGGATGATAGCCTAAAAAAACACAAGACATAGATTTTGGTTGGAATTTATGAGTAATGTATGGCTTGAGCCATGGAAAACATTAGTAGCCAAAAAATCTAAAATAGGAAAAATCTAGAATGAAATGAAAAAATACTTCACGAAAAGATTTATTATGAAGTACAGTAGTAGGCTTGCGATTGATAAAAAAGATAGCCACAACTATTGCATCAAACTAGTAAAGTAAAGGAAGAGAGGAATGGTGAAGCAAAGCTATGGCAGTGTCAGTAATGCGTCTGTGCTTTCTTTCAGAAATGTCATTTTGAGCTTGAGTATAAGGATAGTTGGTTTGATGAATAATGCCTTAGGATGTCCAAAAAGAGTCAAAATTTTTATTGAAAAATTCAGTGCCACAATTAGTCCTATGAATTTTGAGAGTAGTGTGAAACTGATTTTCAACATAGGCCTTAAAAGCTAAAAACTTATCATAGACCTCACTCTTGTAATGCAAAGGGTAAATGCAAGTAAACCGACTAAAATCATCAATAAGCAACACATAAAATTTGAAAGTAGTATTATTATAATAAAGTGAACTCCATACATCACTATGAATTAATGAAAAAGGATAATCAATTGAAGTACTGGACAACTTGAAAGTTTATTTATACATTTTAGACACCTGGCAATCAGTACAAGTCAACATTTTATCTAGAGTACGTTTATTTGGTAGGTGCATAGCTAGATGATGTATTTTTCATTATGAAGGATGCCCCAGTCTTTGGTGCCAAAGGAAGTTAAAGATGAGAGTAGTAGTTGTAGTAGTAGGAGATTGATGAACCTGTGCAGAAATAGAAGATAATGGCAGAGAAGGTGAAACAATAAATTGATAGAGGCCATTAACATTAGTTCCTTTATGCAGGACCTAGCTCGTGTGCTTGCCCTAAATAAGAAATGTATCAGCATCAAATATGACAACACAATTATGATCGTTGGTCAGTTGATTTACAGATAGTAACTTGGCTGAAATTAAAGGAACATGAAGAAGATTTTTAAGATGAA